CAGCACTAGCGACTACACTGGCAGCCTGGGTCGCGCCATCCTTGACTGCAGAGGCTCCTTCGGTCGTTACACTAGCGACAGCGGAAGCGGCGTTATTCGCGCCCTTTTCGGCAGCTGATGCTGCTTGAGTAGCAACGGAGGCGATGGCTGAGGTGGCATCCAACATAGCTTTACATGGGAGGTCTGGGTTAGACTTTGATGAGCTATGTGGAGAACTATGTACATACCTCCTTTGATAGAATCACCGAGGCCGCTGACTGGATCAAACAAGAGTAATGTCACCCGAGAATAGATGCAGACTTGGAATGAATACGTACGGAAACTGCGTCGACTGGGTGTGCGGCATTGGTAGAGGTGATGGCGAAGTTTAATTTGCCTTTCCTAGAACGCGCCAATGCAATATTAGATACGGTAATTAGAGTAAGGAATGGCATGACTTACGACTCAAGGATGCTCTTGAAGTCATAATCCAGGACTAGACCCCGAACAACAACAACACTGTTAGGATCGTGTTGCATCTCAGCAAGGATGGTACCGGGAATCGTCTCGTTTGTAGGTACGAATGTCGACTTGACGCGTGCGAAGGGTCCTTTAGCACACTACATAAAGGTCGGTTAGTACCCTATCCAAAACAAGTAAAACATTACGTACATTATTAGGAAGACGCAGAACGGTGTTATTAGCACCTTTCTCGTATACGTGGTTGCAAAGCGCAACTTGTGCTGGTGTGCCATCACAGACCATGAGAACGCTATGCTCGCCGTCCTCCCAGTTTGCATTTCATTGCCAGACTTTCCATCCAGCGGCTTGTGTGATATCTATTAGAGTGACGTTCGTAAGTCAGGAGTATGATCGAGACTATCGAAAACGGACTTGATAGGACTTGACGAGAGCCGTCCTACACGAAGCAATTGTCAGCAAAAGAACCTCGTATGAAACATCATTTGAACTCACCACAGCAAAAGACAAGAACGCCGTATTGTTGTTCCCCGAATTCCGATCATAAGAACACTTCCCATCCGTACATGACACACTCCAGTCATTCAGAGCCTTGACGGGTAAAGATAGGGCAACAGCAAACAATGTAGGTAATGCCCTGTAATGCCAGCATTATCTTGGTTGGTTATGAGTAAACTGTAGAGTAAATGAGAATAAAAGAAGCAAAAAGACCGCGACTTGCGCTCGCTGAAGATGGGCAGAAGACGAAAGGGTGAAACCGACTAAGATGATATATACGGCTGGCTTATATAGCACCACGTTTGCTCCTTTGCGACTACACTGGTGTTGACTTCGGATCCCATCTTTGATGATGGCTGTGTGGAAAGTCTTGGGTGATTACGAGATTCGAAACGAGCAGAGTGTTGGTCTAAGTTCCGGGAGATATATGGTGTTCGACTCTGCAAGTCAACTGAAGTCAACTGATAAGAATAGCAGACATGAAAGTTGAGCAGAAGCTACTTACGGTGTTGCATGTTAGCTCTAAAGCCATATGGTGTTCGTATAGCTTAAGTATCGGACTTGGTTAGACTGGAATAGCATTGCAAAACGGAATTCCATACCTCTAATATGGTAATCTGATCTCGCCACATGGTATTCTGATCCGCCCGACTGGGTACTCGTCCCGCCACATGGTATGTTCATCTCACCCTTCCATCTATCGCCTTTTACAGCTGCGATTATGATCAACCAGGAATCAAATGAAAGCTGTGATTGTATTGAATACAGGAAAAATGCTGGTGAGACACGAAACCGGCGGGAATGGACTATATACAATTATGTTCTCTCTGGTGCCGGGGTGGAAGACTTCTTATCGGTCGACCTTTCTAGAACAAAGTGACATTGAACTCTAAGCTAACTACTACATAGTACTTCTGAGTAGATTATAAGCACAAAAAACAATATTGCTTTAAGAATCTGAGAAAGACTGAACAATACATGGTCACTGAGCAGATCAAGTCATCAACGATGAATAGTCAAGCTCGTAAGTTATGAGTTGCCACTAGGAATAAATATAATAGGTATATCTCGGTGATGACACAGCTCGTGAAGTGCTCCATCTGTGTGTACGCTAGATTGATCAGCCCTGGAATTTCCGAGAACGCAACCGATATGAGGGAGGACTTCCATCCTTTGAATAAGTCCTGTTGCGCTTTCAACCACCGAAATCAGAAGGACCTTGCGAATGCTTACGAGTTATGACGAGTGAGCATTCCTGGGTTTGGCAGAACCCAATGATTACTTTGGTTCTGCTAGTCTACATGCAAGCCGTCGAAATCTCGGAAATATTTTCAAAATCTTTAGGGGAATCAATATTCAACGGTCAACATTCGCTAATAGGGCTGTCCCTA